AGAATTCCACTTACAGCTAGTTAATACTTTTATGAAATTAATTATATTTAATTAAAATAAACTAGATGTGCATACAGAATGCTCCTGATATCAGGATCAAGATCAGAAGAATCAGGAAAATCAGGAAAATCAGAAGAATAAGGAGAGGAAGAAGAAGAAGAAGAACGAGAATTACCGCCTTTATTTTTACCAAGCCAAATTCACAAATATTATTTTAGAATATTTCTGAAACAACCAAAATCACAACAAAACCATGAAATAGGCCTGCTGGCAAAACCATGTAAAAAAAGCACACTACCTCATAAGTGACATCGTATCTTTAAAACTGTGGCTCTGAAGAAAATGTAATCAATATCAACACATTTTTCGTAGATAATTATATATCTGCAATTTTGTCTCAGGCAATTTTGCAATAAAACTGACGATTTGGCTGAAAATCAAGAAAAAATCATTTTTTTTACCTTTGACTTTGTGCCAATTTTTATAGCTCGCACCGGAACGATGAGGGCGACTTTTGTAGATTTCATTTATAATTGTATTTTAGACAATTATATAAAGTTATAGCCCATTATAAGTTATTGTAACCATCACCCTTATTTTAGGTCTAAATTGATTGGGCTACTAATATATACAGCTGTTATAGTTTTCTTATTATTGATCTGATCATGAGTTATGAGAATAAACTTTGTATTAAATATAAATCAACAAACTAGTATTAAATATCACAATACTCAGAAAAATTAAGTGATTAATTATATATTTAATTGTTATTATATAATTATTTCTATAAGTTATATTATTAATTATATAAATTGTTAATTATAAACAATCTATAAGTATCAAACTAATTGTATTTATCAAATTAACTGTTTAAAATAATTTAATAATTGAACAAGCACAACAGCATTTGAAGGCCGTTCGAAAAAATGATTTACTTATCGATTCTTTGATATGACAACAATGTTTGCGATCGAAATATCAATGTATCGATTAATATGAAGTAATGTGGTTGCTAAGAAATTGATAAATGACTGATAATTCATTTGTATCGCATATAATTTCAATATATAATGCAATATTGGAAATATATATATACCTTTTTCGAAATCAAATCATTATCTATAAATGATAAAAATGAATGCCATAATTTAAATTGAAAAAATATTAGTAAAACTTTGGTTATATTATATACAGGGTGTCCCAAAACTATCCTAAACAAAATTATCTCACATGTATTGGAAATTATGAGCTTTTAAGTTTGAAGCTTTGGTGAATTTATGACCATTTTTTGGTTACTGTGGTTAACATTTATTAATTTTGTTCATTTAAACTATTGAACCGTAACCGTGAATAACATTTCTAGAACCACAGTAAAAAAATACAACAATTGCCCCAAATTTTCAAGAATTAAAAAAATAAACACCCTTAAACTTCTCGACTTTTGCATATGAATAAGATGTCAATATATAAACGAGTGATTTTTGATTATGCCTATTTGCTGTGGGACTTTGTTAGAAACTATTGCAGATTATTCAATTTTGTACTTTGCAAACTATTTTCGACAAATAGTTTACATATTATATGTATTTTTTAAAAGTACGGCCAATTATTCTAAATTTTAATAAACTTCTAGAATTAAACTACTTGCTGTAAACTTACAATGTTTTTGTGTATTTATTATAACTTGAAGTTTATCGTCATGCAAAGTTTAAATATATGCACACACTCACTCGCGCCTATACTTTATCCAATTTCGGTCTCAAACTATTCAGAATGGCTTGAAACGTCGAAAGTTAAAAATATTAGCACTAAAACAATCCAAGTGATTATAAACCAAATATCTTAAACAATGAGAATGCTTAAAGCACTTCGGTGTGATTAATAACAACATTTGCAATTTTTAGATAATAAAGAAATAATAATAAAGAAATAATAATAACAAGTAATAGAAAAAACATATAGGATGTAATTCCAACGTTGTTAGCCTACGATAAAATTCCAAAAAAAAAAACAGATCAAAATGAACAACCCTTTATTTCCGGCTTTGTACGAAATTATCTTACAATTGTTCATGACCGCTGAGGGATGATAAGAATAACACAATCGCATTGATAATACAGCGTGCATTTAAGTATTTGGAATACTGCAGCGGATATTTATGTTTTACAATTATGAAAATAAAAATTCATTAATTCGTAATTTTGTTATTATAATTTCATAATTTAAGAGCACTACTGTAATGGTAATGGTAATGGACCCGATTTGTATAAAAGGGTACCAGAATCGAGTTGCTCTTGTGTACAATAATTGATTGTGAAAATGGGAGTTATACTTGGCTGTTATGACTTGCAATGAACAAAAAAATTGAGTAGAATAATAATAATCAATTGTGGATAAGAATATAATTTTTTCTCTGAACAGAACCTAATAGTCCTATAAGGTGTTGTGCTGATTTGGCTTAATAATAGGTTGTCAAATATCTCCCTTCCGCCTTTTTGTAATAAAGATAAAGAGCAAAAAAGCGGAAGGGAGATATTTGACAACCTATTACTATAAGGTTGTTCGGAAATTACTTCGTTTTTTGACAACAGAGAATTTTACTATATTTTTTAACCCTTTTTTTAAGCCCTATAATTATTATATGATTTGAAAACTTATGTTTTAAGGCTTGTGTGTAAAAAATTTTAATCAATTACATCCAGTAGTTTTTGGATGGTGCCACTTTGAATACGGAAAGAATTAAGCAGCATTTTCGACATATTTTTCTCTTTTGCTATAGAAAAGGTAAAAAACTGTTTAAGTCAAAATGAAATTGATCGATGTGTACGGAAGTGATGTTTTGATAGTACGACAGTGCCTAAATTGGTTTGCTGAATTTCATTCCTGATATTTTGATGCACTAAGTCCAAGAAGTACTGCTGAAAACAAAGATTGATGCAAACCAACGAATAACAATACATGAGATACCATTGAGTAAATATTTTTCAAATTAAACAGTTTATGATTACTCAAAAGGTCTTGGATTTTCCTCGAAGCTCAATGTATGGTTCTCATAGAAAGAAACATGTGTTGTCGCACTGGCGTCCGCGATTCGCCTCTGAAAATTCCTGAAAATTATCAGGTTTTGAAGCGAATTTTCACTAGGAATGTAAAATGGAATGTAAAGAATACAATACACGCAATTGCCAATGAAACAAAAAAGAAGAACCTGCTCAAAACAGTGGAAAGCTGAAATTTGCCAGAAAAGGGTGATGCAGTATGTTTGGTAAGATTTTAAAGGACTTGCTCGTTTTTCAGCTTTTATAATATAACTGTTAATTCGGATGCCTTATGTCATAAGCTGGATAAACTAAATGATGTACTTCAATAAAAATAGTCAGAATTAACCCACAATAAGGTATAGTCTTACATCAAGACTAGGTTTTGGTCAATCGCCAAAAGCTTTTACAGCTTGAATGGGACCCAATTCCTCATTCATTACATTTTTCAGATCTGCCATCATCGGATCATAATTAGTTCCAAAGACTAAAAAAATTTTTAAGTGGTAAACTTTTTATGTAAAATGAGGAGTTCAAAACGCACTTTGATCAGTTTTTTGCCAATAACGACCTAAAAATTTATGATCTCACAATTATTCTAATACCTTCTGACAAAAGATGTTCGATCAAAAAACCTAATACATAATTTCGTAATATAATTGTTTATTGTACAAAAATTACGTGCAAAAATGCCTATAAAAAACGGAGTTACCTCCCGAACAACCCAATAGTTTGTTTGACACATCTCTGTATGATTATTACAATTATTTTCACAATTTCTGTAATAGGGCGAATATTTTTAGTGATGTAGCAATGCCGGGTGAGGGCTATTTTCACTTGGAAACATATTTCTATTTATATTTTCAAGTGAAAATCTTTGTCAATGCTGCTTGACAACAGTGCTTAAAGAGGATATCGAACCCTGGACCTCTGAATCAAGTCCCGCCGCTCTTAACCACTTACCACGAGCGAGCTCTAAGAGTATGATATAAGAAAAAATAATGACTAATTAATATAAATATGTTAACATCAATATGTTGTAAAAATTCTGAAGTTGGGATACAAAAAGATAGGATAGAAATAAAAAAAATAATATGCTGCCAATAGGTAAATTTCAAATATATATTCCTAACAATATGCGAGCAATATCGAAACAGTTAAATAAATCATGAATAAGCAATTAATTTTTCATGAACAATATTCCATATATTGATAATTATCTAAAAATGCGATTTGTAACACCGTTTGTATCATGATAGTCTAATTGGAATATGTCACGCAATAATGTTTACTATCAAAGGTTAATGAATTTTTTGTTTGAAAACTCTTATAAGTTTATAATAAAAGTAAATTCATATTCACGATAACTTACAGAAATAATGAAATATTGCTGTATTATCATTATTTTACTTAAACTATTATATTTCAGATCACTTTTATACTTACACTTAGACCGTTTTACAGTTTATAGGGCAACAATTAGTTTTTCCGAGTAATAAAGAAACGAGAAATACAAAATCATTAATAAATGCATTGTTTTTAAAAATTCTTTATAACTGGTTTAGTGTTTTTTGAACGATTCGTTCGACTGTGTATATATGTGTGAGACTGAAGAATGTACACTATGTATAATAATCTAATTGCCGAGGAAATCTACTAATATTTGAAACAATAATAAGAATCCAATGAATGTTAAATAATGATTGCTCAGGTCAGCATTAAACCTTGAATGTCAAATAGACCTTTAACGAAATTTGTAGCACATGTTATGAGGCAACATAACTAACGGTATTGACAAGTCTCGAAAACAAACTTCGAGAAACCGTTCATAATTATATTTTAAAACCAGACAAAAAAAACTTAATAATGATTCATTAAAGAAATTCTTATCAATTATGCTCCACCTATATTATGTGTCATGGCATTAAATATTTAAAATAAATAACTTTAATTTCTACTTACGAGATTATTCAACTAGTGTTTTATATTTATGACCATGGAACATTCACTTAACGACACAAAACACTTTTGCACAACTAAACAGTTATTAATATTTTAAAATAATAAACAAACATTGACACAGTGCACGTCCGCTCAGCACAAATGCTACACCGTTTATGGAAGACGAGCGCCGATGACATGACGTGTTTAGCAATGAGCTAATCATCATTTCATTTTCATACGATTTCAAATTAATGCCAGTAAATATTGATTCAGGGGACAATAAATATATAAATTCACAAAATATTTGAAAACATTTTTAACATGCACTAGTTTTATATAAATCTAATAATTTGCAAAACATTGTTGATTATCATAGATAAACAAGTATAAATGGATGACAACTTAACAAAAAATGTCAAAAAAGTAAAATGCAATGTGAAGTTGTTTAGTTAACTTCATGTTTCAAAAATGACAGTTGCAAAAAAATAATGGATTTGCTTTTGAAACACGATTTTAAAGTTATTAATTTGTAAAACACATAAATGTATTTCTATTTAATCTATTGAAAATTACGTATTTATGTCCACTACAAAATTAAGTTGCAATATAAATTATATTCACATTAATGCAAATCATTAATCACCAACCCAAAGATAAATAAGCACCAACCTAAACCTTAACGTAAGTTACAGCAGAAACAGTAAACATACCAAATATCAATAAAATATAATAAAATATGTGTTTATTAATTTTCCATTCAAAAATTCACTTTTACAACTATTGTCTCTTTTATACACTGGAACCCGTAAGGAATTCGTCATAAGCATATATGAGTAGAAACGAGATGACGCAAGTAATGGGTTGAATCATTGTGATAAGCGTTTATTTGTGTTTGTATTCACTTGTCTCACGATTCTGCTTTTTAACAACATAGCAGTAATTTTATGACACTTTAAATTCACAAATTATAATTCATGGAATATATTTTATGTATATTTCAATATTCTGGTGAGTTTTGCAAGTTTACGGTTTATATTGACATTACAGTGTTGAAAACTTAAGTGCCCAAAACAGTATTGCAAAATTTTCGAAATATTGAAAAAAAAACTGATTTTCAAAATTATAAAAATATTAATTATGGTTATAATCTAATGTACCTCAAAAGAGAATTCTTTTTATTTTCGCCTTTCTAAAAGCACAACAATAACATTATGGAAAAACGCGCCAAATTTTATCTGTCAAATAGTTTATCACTGTTAATTGCTGTTATTCTATATTTAACACGTATTATTAATAAAATTAACTAGGAACGCCTCTGTTCAAGTATTCTTAGTTTCATAATTGAAGACTCTTTGGAGACTGCGTGGATGTAATGAAATAAACAGTAATTAGTTTAATTATCGCCAGTGCGACATTTCAGAGGCCACTTGCCCAGTTAGACGACATCCTGATTAAAATATGTTTGTATATTCCTTAACATATTTAGAATTAGTTTTAATTTTACAATAAATATTCATCTTTATTCACTATTTAATGATAATTTAATTTAATAATTTTTTGCCGTTAATTATTGCACTATCACAACATTGAAAAACGATTAATGATTACAGTGTATAGCCATACAATATTGTTGCAAAACAGCACATTTTGATATCTTTTTGTCTTATTTTTTTAAAACTATTTAAAACTTTATACTTTTAAAGAGGAATTTAAAGAGTATTTTTGTTAATAAAAATTTCATACTGATAATTTAATTTTATGTTTTAAGTTGGTAACTCTAATTCGAACTCTCTGAACATAGGCATAATCTCCGGTATAAGTACCAATTATTAACAAAAAATTAAAAATATACCGGCAACCACATCTGTCAAACTAAAAAAAATTCTCAGGTTTTGATGATATTTTGTTTTATATGGATATATAAATATTTTTATACAATATTTTTTAAACGTTTATAATAATTTGTTTAATTTTTTTATAAGCTAAAATGAGTCAGTCAGAACCTGATACGTGTTTGGAACTTGATGATGATGTCGATCATGGTGAATCTGTATCCGACATCGAAGCTGATATTGATATTGAGTTTATTAAAAAGAAAATTGAAGAATTGCGAGAACAAACGATTTCCAGGGTATGGCTGTTCATTTCACAATTAATTTAAGTACCGTTTATCTCTTGCGATTTTATAGGTAAATAATTTTTATTGTAGAAACTCCTAACATCAAAAGCAAAGAATGATGAAGAAAATTTTGCAAAAGATCTGCAGGATTTAGAAAATACTGGCGCTTCCAATATAAGAAAATTGGAACAATTACGCAATGAACTAAGCAAGTATTTTTGATTATAATTATATAACTTTATTTTTGGCAATATTTTCATTCTCACTAGTAATCGTTTATTGGAATATTATTACTTACATATATCAATTTTCTTCAAACCTAGATAAGCAGCGCAGTGCGAATGTAGTCTTAGAGGAGCACCTGAACCGATCACTTCGAGAGCTCCATAAAATGCAGACTGAGGCGGACACTGGGTCGAAACGATTGCACACAGAGAGAAAAAAATCTAGCGAACAAGCGTATGTTCAGATTTCATAAAAAATTAATTTTGTCTCTAATAGGGCTTAATAGAGTTCTAAAATTTATAAGCCACAATATAATAACTTTGTTTGTTTATTTATTATAATTATTAGATAAATCTTGAGTTGAATTCATATAGTTGAGTTAAACCTAAAAAGAGAAGTTGTATGAATTTATTTTATATATTATTTTTATCTAAAGAATTTTTTTATTTACAGCAATAAAGTACAAAAAGATTTGGATAATTTAATCTGCGTTATAGACGACCTTCCTGCAAGATTTGTATGTATTTCATTGAAATAATTTACAAACCGAGTACAATTAATGCTGATAGTTTATATTTATCTGTAAAATCTAGAGTAGAGAAAGGCTACAGGCAGAAGTTTCGGCTATAAGAGAACAAGCTGTAAAAATGGACGGTGAATTAAGTCTGATGCGAAACGAATTAGAATACTTAAAAAACAAACTAGTCGAATATCCTACTTTTGACGAGGAACTCGACATAAGCAAGTATGTAGAATTATTCAACTATATTCTCATAAATAATATAGGTATATATAATTTTATATTTATTTGTTAGCAAAATAGCGGAAGACGTTATTAAAGACTTTGAAGAATCTGAGAGGCAAGTCATCATCTTAAGGAAAGAAGAGAAGAAGTTGCGTGCCCAAATATTGCAAGCAGAAGCAACGAGCTCACAAGTCGCGAGGGATCAGATATCAAACTTTTTTGAACCCAACCTGCGAATTTTTAATACCCCCAGCTTTCTAAACAACGATAAACTCTAAAAATGCTACTGATTTTTTAAATAATAATTTGTAGTAAATTGATGTTACTATTAATATTTAGCTTATGGAAGTCTGAAGATTATCTTTCATAAACTCAGTAGCATAAAATAATTTCATTACTTATTACTTAATTCGAAATATTTTCACCAGGTTTATTCATTTTATTTAATGTAACACGTACAAAATTTTTTGCATTTGTTATAGTTACATTGTAATCTTGTTTAAAATATGACCAAATGTAAAAAAAAAATATAAGCAATATGCTGTTAGAATATATGAACATGTGTACTAATATGTTCATATAATAAGAGTACTGTATAAGAACCAATAAATACATTGTAAAAAAATATTAATACTTTTAAATTTTTTATTAATATTATTATTTCTAAAGTTAAGTTTTTATATAACTTTTCTGTGTGTGGGCATATTGATAAGTTTTGGCATACTTTGTATAGAAATAATTGTAGCATAATTTTGTAAAAATAATATGTATATATGTTAATGAGTATGTGTGTCTAGATATACATAATATTTCTTTTCCTAGATAATGCATCAATGTATTTGAATATCTTAAAAGCATTAGATTAGCATCTGAATATTCACACAAATTTTATACTGTAAGCTAAACGAATTATCTGTTTAAAAATTTGAAGCTTTATATAACATAATGATATTATATATATAAATATAATATATATATATATATATATATATATATATATAATACATACATATATGCATATAATACATATATATATATATATATATATATATAAATATATATAAATATATATAAATTAAAGATATTATGTTAGAACAACACTGAACCAAGTTAAAAATTTAAATTAAATTAAATGTATTATAATTATAAATTATATTTTAAAAAATGACAGTATTGACGATGTCATTTTCTAGCATAGTAATGTAAGATTATCATTTGTTTAAAAATCTTTCATCAAACGCAAAATTCATCGTGTTTCACACATATTTAAAAAAATAGATAATAATGGTTTAATGTCATCCATGAACCAGAACGGGGGGGTTTTAATTCTTTCTCTCTAAAATGTGAAATTCTTTAAAGACCTTAAATACAATTTGTGGGGAAATACGAAATTACCGAAAAAAATTTAATTGATTGTGAATGTGGGATAAAGGTTATCTGCAACATTAAAGATGGATAGTTTTCATAATTTATCATCAGAGGATTCAGATGAGGAAGATAGCTTATCTGCGATTGGGGTAAGAAATTATTAAGTATGATCAATATGTTATATAATATTACTCTTAAAAAGAGTCACGAATATTAGTTTTTCCATTTCTTCTAATGAGTTTTTGAATTAATTTTTCCTTCTAGCATCTTATAAATTTGGTGCAACGTAGCCGGAGCCATACACTTAGCGAATCGGACTTGCTGACTACTGATTCCAACCGCATAACTCAAGATCGTGAAGAACGGGAGGCCCTCGAAGCAGAAGTCAGCAGACTGATACCAGACATCAGACTTATGATGACTCGGGAAGAGGACACCTGCTCAACTTACAGTTATAACAGTAGCGGCGATAGCTTGGATTCATTGTCCCTTCCTCGCAATTCATTTGCTAGAACACTATCGCTAATAGACGAAGGATTACCATGGGATAACGAGTTTTGCAGGTGCAACTCACACACTGCCCTCGGACAGGAAGAATTGGATGACGTTTTACCATTTCATGAGATACCTGAGGTAAAAAAAATTCAATAAAGGAGCAACACCTCGGTAACAGTCCAAAGAACTTTTTTCATATTTTTGGTTAAAAAAAGGGTTTTAGCATATTCAAGTAATATAATCGAAAGTCATTCAAACATATTGATCTAGAAAAAAACTTAATCTTCATATATATCATTATAGTTATAAGCTAAAAAATACGTAGATTTTAAAATAATTAACTTCCCGTATGGCAAGTTATAGTAATCGCAAAAAATCGAAAATGAAAATTTTTATAGATCTTTACGTTTCAAAACTTTCTGAACATTTTGGCATACCTTAGAAAAAATGGATGTATGTGTGTGTATGTGTGTGCGTGTATGTATGATCAACCGATTTGAATAATTCAAAAAACATTCGATTCGTATTGATAAGGAGACCTGCTGATTAGTTTTTGGCGAAGGCAGGTCTAGCTGTTCCGAAGATACGGGCCAAAAAGTGCCAAAAACGGTAACTCAGTTTTTAAGAGAACAGAGCGTCCTATTTGAATAAAAACATTTTATTTGTATTGACTAAATGAAGAACTGTTCAAATTTTTGGATAGGCAGGTCCATCGACTTTGAAGATATGGAGGAAAAAGTAAAAAAATGAGCCATTTGGCGATCAAAAATGAACATTAGACATATGCACATCAAATTATCAGATATTTTATAGAAATTTTAACAATAAGTATAAATTTTGTTTACATTCCTATGGGTTCCGTACCAACGTTTACGCGTTAGACGCCGACGCGGCGCTTACGCGCTTTGATATTTCGTCTTTATGCAGTTAAAGCAGTACGATTGCTTCGAAAAAAAGTTCAGAATTTCCAAAATATTTCAAAATAAATGATTTAAGATAGAATGATTTAATATGGTTCGAAATTCTATTAAAAGTTTCAAATCATTGAACAACTTTAAATGATTATTATTATTGATTATTTTTAATTACTCGAATTTTGAATTGCGGTACGGGAAGTTCCAGCAATTTGCTTTAAGGCACGATGCCCTAATTGACTTAAAACAGAATTTCACTTACAGCTAGTTTACAGTGGTTTTGCTCCTTAAAGCGTATGGTGATTCAAGATGTGAAATAAAATTTGTATGAATTAATTGATAATTTTGTTACAAAATATTTTTGATTCTAAGTAGTGAAAAATAACAAGTATTTTAGAAAGAAACATCCGCTTTCGTCAAACATCAGCTTTTATAGCACTTATAATAAATATCAGTTAAAATTAAGGTACAAAATCGAATTAATAATAGTAAACAAACTGATTAACAAAACGGGAACAAAATTAAAGCCTAAAAATTCTAATTTTTAATAAATAAATTTTATTCATTATATAAACTATTATATATTCAATTTAGACAACAGCTTTATCGGAAAGATCTACGTTAAGTGAGGAACTTCTTGTAACAAATAGCAGTGTTCGAGAAAACGATGATAATCTGGACGATTTTAGTGATGATCTGTGAGTTTTTCTAAAATTAAATAGTTTTCTATTGTTAAATATTTCTTAGTTTTGATTGAATAATTCACTTGCAGTGGGAAGACTATGAAAAACATGACAAACGAGGCGACGAGAAGCAGGACCAGATCGTACGTGAGTAATAATAAATTTAAACTAATTGTAAGTGCTAGACAAGAGAAATATTGTATTTATTTACATATATAATTTCAAGTTATTTTGAAAATTATATTTGAAAATATTTAGTCAATTCAATGATGAAGTTATTTAATATATATGTCCAATAAATATTCCATTTTCTAGAAATATTACATGTAACATTTATATTTTCACTAAAATTTTAGTTTTTAGTTTCTATCCTCGCATAAGACTTTTTTTACTTACCTTTTTAGGCGCAGCTTAGGCTTGACTTCCCGAACAATGAACGGCGCCCAACATGTTTGGAGACCGATCAGGTGCGCTCTTACCAAAGATTTTTAAGGAAAATTCTGCTACCCCTTTAGAGATTAAAATGTACCAAAAAACCTTTTGAACTCAAATAAATACAGTAAATAATAATATTCTTTAATCTTTTATCCGCCAGATCCGCCGGAATGCCATCAGCATCAGTCCGGAGATCGAGTACCCCGATTCCACTCTTGGATACTCTTCTGCGTCATCAGATTTCTTTTGTGGCTGTGCCTCAATTTTCAGATGAAAATGATAAACCTGGACCAAGCAATATGGAATTGTTTCTCATATTCTATGTTATTATATCGTTTATTGTATTCTATTACTCTATAGGCTCGAATCCAAAAAACTATTGAAATGTCACTACAAACAATATTTAGTGAATCTGATGATAAACAGTGATAATGATTGATGATTTGTAAACTTTTATTAAAAAAGCATTTTATTTGTTCATGAGATGTTTTAGTCTGTCTTTAAAAATAGTTGTAGTTTATTTAATCATCATTATTTATAGTGCATTTTATTAATATATAATTAGGCCTTTTAAAAATTCTTTTATTAATCACCATAAGCAATATTCACATAAGAAGGTACTTCATAATTAATTAGTTGGCAACATGCAAGTTTCATTTCTACTTATAATTTGTTAACACGCATAATTTTTATTTTATTTTCAATTACAATATTATTTAATGCGTTTGTTGCAATAACTCTTTCTCTAAATCAAGATCTTTCAGAAATCTTTCCCACTCTAAACCGTATCCAATTTCTGGTTCGCGTTCGGAAGACCAATTCATATCGAACTGAAAAGGAAAAATATTATATAGTTCAGGAATCCAACAATAAATGCAGAAACAGTAATAAATATTATATTTGTAATAGTTATAATATATCAAATATTTATACTACTATATGTAATTCAGAGAAGAAAATACTTTGGAGATAGACCAAACCAAAGTATAGCCAATTCAGTATTTTCAAAAATACTGAATACCTCAACTCACCTGAACATTTACTGGAGGAGTTGCAGCAATTGGGCACAGTTTAACATTGAAGAAGTTAATGAGATCATTATAATCTATTTCACATTCTTCATTCTTCTGTAATCTGTAAAACGTTTTTTTTTTAAATATTACTATAATAAAAATGGGAATGGATCAGCTCGAAACAATATAACGTATAAAAAGAAACTATGAAAAAGATAATCATCTATGTGTAAATAATTTGAATATAATTAATTTTTCTATAAAGATTATTTTATTGGAGCAATTTGATATAAACAGCGAATGTACTTAATCATAAAACAGAAAGTAGAAGGTGTTATAAAGATGTGTATGGCATATGTAACAGATGTCTGCATGCATGGTATGATGATGTAGAAGGTAAGTGTATAGTAGTCGACTTACGTAAGGAAAATAACAAGTAAAATAAATAAAATATCAATAAAGAATTCAATGTCCAAAACCTTACACGTCTATTATTCTCTCAATAAGTACTTCATCGATGGGTATGCGACAAGCCTTAATTGCGTAGTGCATGGTTTTGCGTGGCAGGTAACCAGATCTGGCCTTGTCCAGGTGGCGCATATGTTCCAGCATCCTTTCCAGATCGTCCCAAAGATATCGACGTAGTTCTGTATGAAGAATGGCCCTCACTTCGTCACGTTGGAATCTGAATAAATTATTATATCATAATATATTATATATTATATATATTATATACTATATATATATATTATATATATATATTATATATTTTATATATTATATTATAGATATATATTATTATCTTATATATTATATTATATTCTATATTATAGTTATATATTATATATTATCTCTTATCTATATTATCTTAATATATTATATCTCTATACTATATTATTATATATTATATATTATATATTATATATTATATATTATATATTATATATTATATATATTATATATAATGCACCTTAATCCCACTCTTCTTTCGGCAGAATAATGACGTGACAGTGTTATCAGCTCGTGCTCAATAAATTCATCCCCAAGAAGTTCTTTCATTGCAGTTCTAGGTATGAAGAATCATTTATTGCTTAAATTTTATTATTTTTTGTTAGCAACTTTTAATATTATTCATACCTCATAGTATGTTGAGAAATAATATGCATACATTTATTTTCAACTTTATATATTTGTACACATGGAAGATATTTTGCTACGAATTCTTTGTATACACCCTCGCCGCTAAGTTTTTCGCGTATTTTATTTATTATTCGTGTAGCATCACTCACGGGAAACTAGAAATAGAAGAAAAAAAATTAATACTTATTATATGTACCAACAAAATAATTTATTGTTATTAATTGCCCTCTCTGTAGTAAGAATTTCTCACCACTTCTTTGTTACTATTTAAATATATATGTTCTAACACAAGCAAAATATATACAATTTTACCTTAGGTTCTATGAAATATTTAGCATATTGCTAACCTCTGTTCTAACATAAATATGAAAATTTGACAAATATTTTATTGTCTACATCTTTCATAATCGTACATGAAGATGCTTCTTCTGTTTAATCAATTTTATCCTTACCTCACTGGGATGTAATTCCATGTATCGAAGGGCGTAGTCATCAGCATTTATGAGTTCGAAGTGCCAGCCCGAAATTTCCAGCTTGGCACCTATGAAAACATCAGCTTTGCCGTATCTTTTCGGTGGCTCACTTAAAAACTTCTCTTGGCCCGGAAGAATGGCAGGATTTCTTTTGAAAAATTTTCCTCCCCAAAAACCAGAATTGCGTTTGGCCAACTCGAAAACGGCCATGGTATCATTTGCCAGGAAATACGAGACCTTAAATAATTTTATACGATGTATAGTATTTAAATGATAATTATATTCTAGGTTTTTATATAATACTCACCACAAAATATCGATCTTGATCTTCAGTATTCTTTGATATCATACGTGCTCCATACCGCAGTATCATACTATCGTGCCCACGTCTATCGTATTTTATAAATTTCACAAAATCTCCTCTAGGCGGCGTAAGCAGGACCTATTACGCAAAAATTAATTCTATAATTCCATTTCTGATTAGAATGCCAAATTTTTGTTTATACTTTAAGACAATTCTGTGCAGAATCCTCGTATGATCCATAGCCGTTCCACGGAGGAAGTTTTCTTGGTTTCTTTGCGTGGCACAGAGGCGGTACATCGGGTTTGGGAGCAGTTTGAAAATGATCTAAAATAAAGTAAATGTTCAGTACTTGTCAAAGTTAATTAAGGTAACTAAAATAAATAAAATGAGTTACCTATTCCATATTTCACGCGGTAGTACTCCTTTGTAAAAGGGTCACAGTCGGTCAAACAAATTTTTCGACCAAAAACTTCTATAACGGAACCGATGACAAAATCTCGATCCCTAGTAGAAGAATACCGTTAGTTGAAAATAATTTATTTAAATACTATTTTTTATTATAATGACACATAATTCATCAGTACTAGCAAAAATTAAATAGTTGTCGGATAAAGTAAAAAAATTAAAGGATAAAATAGAAATAGTAATATGAATATAATTATAGTAATAGTATAACTTCTAGTAATTACTCATAATATTCCAAAGGCCTATATCCAGCTCTCAAAACATCTGGTACAATAACATCACTGGTTACATTAAGAACAGTAAATGGATTGGTTTGGGAGCATCCAGGAGGATGAAGTCCTTCAAACGTCTAATAAATATAACATATATGAACAAATTCTTAAATATTTTCAGTGAAATTCAATTGAAATCACATTTGATTCTATTTATAAAATAAATAATTTACCATGACTGATACTTCACTCACAAACTTTTAGTAGGAGAGCCTGTGAACTATTTGACTTTCTGTTGTTTCCGAGCTAGAAATTTTTTTTAATGATTTTTTATCATCCACCCATTAAGAAAGTACCATTCTGGCAGTCATTACGCGGTTGCGTCATCATCCCTTAAATTTGCGAAAATGTCAAAAAAAATTTTTTCATGACTTGCTCAAACATGGCTCAAATTTTGAGGGTGTATTCTTTTAACTGTTCAGAAAGCATGTAAAAATCCAGCCATTCTGACGGTTCAAGGGTCTGCCATTCGAAGTACATAATAATCACGACACGCAAGGTGTGGGCGCATTGTCGACTAGACATAATCGACTAACACCCTTGCATTTGAATAATTTATACGCCATTTTGAAGGTCTTTTTGAAAACATCCGATATACCAAACTTCAACTTTGTATCTCATCTTATGGCCTTTCAATTATATCAGAGATATCATTGAAAATATGCCAAAGTGGCCTATTTTTCTTTATTCTTAATAGGTCGATAATAAAATATCATTAAAAAAATTTCTAGCTCTGAGAAAACAGGTTAGTCAAATAGTTCACTGGCACTTAGACTATTTTTGTTGTATGTATATATACCTTTGGACATTTACATCTTTTGAGCAACATTGAATTAGTGTCGTATCCAGAATTTTCGGGCATCTGCTCTTTTATTTCCAATGTATCATCTGCTAAATAAATCGAACTTCCAAGTTTCGTAATGTGCCAAAAGCATTGCAACGATCGTCCCAGTATCCCCAGAATCGTAACACCTATTCGAACAGACAATTCAACTTTGACTTCAATTATATTACAAAAATATATATTTAATAAAAATATGTTATACCTGTCCATCTAGTTCTAAAAATTTTTTGAGGGTATCCGTATGTCGAGACGGTTTACGCGGCTGTCCTTTGATCTAAATAATAATACATTAAAGGATTAAATTCATTTGTTAATCACAAGGTATTTGTATTATCTTCAAAATAATCAAATTACATTAATCATTTTTAACACACCTTTTCAAGATGTTCAGTGTTTGGATCGGCAGGTGCGGGTAGGGGGTCCGGAACCGATATACCGAGCCTATTTAGGAAAACTCTTGTAAATCGATCACAATCTGTGATTTTAAAAACTCGGCCAAACAATTCAACTTCGCGGCCGACGTTAAAATCCAGTAGAGAATAATGTTCGTTTTGCTTCGGTCGTGGCCTAGGTATACGTTGCCGTGATATAAAGACTCCTAAAAATAATTAAACGCATAAAATATTTTTGTGGCTGAATCATTATCTTAGATGCTGTTACTTAGTTCAATTAATAATTAGATTATTTTAATATATACAATATTACAAGCTTATATTTTCTTTTTTTTACATTCGATATAACACATGTTTTATGTCTCATGAGTAAATCGTTTTTTAATTGTAGATTGCAAATAATGAAATTTAAGAATAATTTAAATTGTTTAAAAATTAAAAATTGAATAAATATCCCAAAAATGTATTCAAATTTTCATTCTTTATCGAATTATTCATATTTCATCAAATAATTTATTGCAACCATGCTATAATTTTCCTATGTGATATGATAAATAATGATATAGTTAAATGTACTTTTGTTTTACCTTGCGCCAGGCCACTATTTCGAACCGGGGGCTCTTTTACTTTGATAGTCCCATCTTCCAAATAATATCGTATTACACAATGGCGAACTTGATGACCTCCTGGAGGCATCTCTTGAAGCGTTTGCTGAAAATGCGCTTTAAAAGAAAGAACCTAAATTGCAAAAAAATAATTAATTTAACTATATTAATCTGTTAATCTCTGGATGAGTGATATTAAATTAAACTATTTCTTACATGATTATTATATGCCAGCCATGACGGTAATTCTGCTCCTTCACCTCTTGGATAAACGCAGGGTTCTCTATAAGGCGGAGGTGCCGGCGGACCAAGAGGTTCACCTCCAATACCAACTTTTGGTCCGTCTGTTAGAGCTGGAACCCCATATATCAAACGTAGATGACTTGACCTGCCAAATTTTGTTTGACCAATCTAAAGAAGTAAAAGGTAAATATTAATTTACAACATTTTGTACTCACACACTGATATATATATATATATATATATATATATATATATACAGGGCCGGTCCTGGGGTCCTTAGCGCCCGCATGCAATTTTTTTTCTAGCGCCCCCCCCCCTATTGATTTTAACAGTTTATCATTAAAATTATATAAATATACACATATTTTTTAAAAATTAATTTTTAATTATTCTGGATTCAGTACACGAAAAATTAGATATATCTAGAAGGGTATAAATATATTGATTTTCAATTTATTTTATTATCGATATCAATAAATAAAACAATCCCTGTCGTAATTTCACATTTTAGTATATTCAATTTGTAATACATTGGTTAAGGATGTAAGTTCGACTACCATAGTAAAAGATTTATTTTTTGTTAGATTAAAAGTTATAGAATTTAAGAAACGCATTGCAGAATAGTATTTATTATTTTGATATAAAGATCTTGATATCTGAAATGCATTTCTTAAATTCTATAACTTTAATTAACAAAAATATTAAGTGAAATAAATAAATTAATTTTTAATTCTGGATTTAGTGCACCAAAAAATAGATATAATCTAAAAACGTATAAATATATTGATTTTAATTTATTTAGAAAATCGAGGCGATTCGGGGGTTGATTGTAGTCAAATATTTTGTAATTTTCAATTATTTTAACGTATGTGCAATATGATATTTAAAAAAAACTAGCATTTTCTTTCGCAAAAATAATACTCGTATTCATGTTGGATTTTTAAATTTTGATTTAATTTATTTTTTCATTATTCACAATATCCAAATTGCGTCGTAAACTCTCCTTATTGATATCGTAAGAGCCGTCATATTCAGAGTATCAGCTTTTTGTTTTTAAAGTTAAATTTTTAACGTATTTTAGAATATTGTTCAGTTCAAAATCAGTAAAAAAATGCAAAGAAATTGCACA